GCTGACAACCTACTGTGTACACACTGAACCTGTGTATGTTTGTGTTCCATAGAAACTACATGCTCACCAGTGACTGTGGGCATTTGTGCACATTTGTGCTGTAAAACCAAAGGAGGGTAAGATGTATGACTTCCATACAATGTAGGTGCCCAACACCCATTGCGTACATGCATACAGGGGTGTGTTTTGGCATTCATAACCAAGAACTGGGTCAGTGGTAATTCTTCACAGATTTTCTGTGGTAATTTTAATTGGGTAAGAATTAACCATGATGATGTAGTACTCAAATCCTCAAAGCGATTAACCCAAGACAAACAACGAAATCAATTTTTGGTTAGGACAACCAAACCACGCCCCAGGTTGGTTGAGAGCTACACGTAATTCATTTTATCAAACCACCAAGGAAGGAAAATATGAATGTACATACAGCTACATGGCTACACGTACATGTACAGTGGACAATTTCCATTTCATAAATGAATCCGTTTCCCTGTTTTATTCGATTTGTGGCCTTTTACATGCCACTGAGGTCATGCGTACATGCAGTCTTTGTGAAGAAAGAGGAGGCTTAACATTCATGGTTAAGCTTTGACCTCGAAGTGCAGTGTGATTTGTCTAATAGGTCAGATTTCGGAAGGAAGATTTCCCTATTAATATGCCCCAGGTAACATTGTACACTGTGTGTACCAAAATATGAAACAGGTGTGCAACACTTTTTGGGGGATCAGATTTACATTTGTTTGTTTTTGCTTCATATGCAGTGCGATGTAAAGACTGGATAGGACGTCGCTTCCAAAACGCGTCCTGTGTATGCATATTTTCAGGAGGGTAAATGATGAGCGTTGCGAATTTTGTTGCTTGCACTTTCAAACGGGGATTTTAAAAACTGGTCGAGGTCACTGTACTTCAGTCCTCAGATTTCGAAGAAAAATTGAATTCTCCGCCAGGAATGGATACATTTGGAAAGAAACAATAATGGTTGAGGTGTGCGCAGCAGTGAATTGCCGGAGCTTGATGGTAAACAAAGTTTGGAAGAAGGAGCAGCTTTTGACACGTGAGTCGCACTTTTTAGTTCCAGAAAGTTTCTTGTACTGTATGATGCTTTACTTCAGGTCTAGGCCTATATAATAAGAAGTTTACGACAGTCTATCTAGCCCATCAGGCTTTGTATTTGAGACTTTACTACTGGTATATCAAAGTTGGGACCGTCTGAAATATTACTTATTGGCAAAAGTGGTTTAGAAAATACAAGATTAATTTGTCGTTTATTTCCCCCAGATTTTACTGGAAATACCTCCAAGAAAGCCATGATTTGTGTGTTGTCAGATCTGCAGAGGCATTGAACCCATATCGTGTGACAGACGGTGTGATACGAGTGGCAGAATTCTTGTTCAGGGCAGAGATGATACCAAAGTGGGAGGCAGAGAGGCCTGACGCTTCTGTTGAATGAAGTAACAAACAAGGAAATTCAAAGTCAACACAATGACAGAATTTTTCTCTAAATTTTAAAAATTATTCGTTCTCAGTTAAAACTGACTGACTTTTTTCTTTCCGGAAAGTAGTAGTTAAATGTAAATCTTTGGTCAAGTTGTGAATGAACTCATGTAATCTGATTTACAAATGTCTACGGTAAAAACAGCAGTAACTTATAGTTCGGCTGTTCAGTTATAGCTGCGTTTATTTTTGGCTCACAGCTACACTTCTGTATGCCACATGTCGGTTTTCAATAAATGTTGTCAATAAATATATGAATGAATTTCTGCACATTTTTCCTGTGAGTGTATGAAATTAAAAGTAAGACTTTATTTTATTGATGAAGTGTTTCAGTGTTGACCCATCGAAATCAGACGGAAAAACATGTGGACAGTTTGGACCACATGTTTACTGAGAAACCTATCGTCGGTCTTGGTGGAATTTTCAAATTTGTACACACTGAACAAATCACGATTGAACCGACCAAAAGTGAAAATGTTGTCAAAGCAAGACCAAGCCAGACAACAGGTGTGTAAAATGAATGAAAAAAAAAAACCCACTTACACAAAAACAGGTTACTGGTATTGATTTCAAGTCGGTCATTTAATAAGAAACTGGTCGGTTAATTTTGAAAATGATATTCTTGCATTTCCTGTTCATTTTTTTGCTTGTTTTTGGGAGAGGGGCCAAGGGCTTAGCCACCATCCCACAAGAAAAAGCGTTTGTCCATAAATACACAGCATACAGCATCACGTTACCCCCCAAAACGCAACGCGCCGCCATTGTTGGACTGTGCATTTTGTGCACAGACAATGGGTGATGTTGTATCCAGTCTTTATCATGGAGATCAAGGGATCTGAGTCCCATTCCACTTAACTTGTTTCCTGATTTGTATTTCATGCTTGTCCAAACAGTGTTGAGAAGTCAATATGTCAAATTTCCATTTTCCTGAGGAAAATTGTAGACAGGAAACAAAGTGTGATCCAACCTAAGCCCTAACAGAATGAGCCGCGGGTCCCCAGGGCCACTTTTGAGTTTTAGGTCTTTAAAAGAATCTTATGCAATGAAAATCAACAAGAACCCTTCACATGTTTCCCACACCCACTTTTACATGTACAGGGGATGCTAAGGACTCTGAACTGAGTGATACATGTACATCGATGCAAAAGAGTTCAGTTCCTCTTTGTGATTCAAACTCAAATCAAATTACTCAAAGAAAATGGCAGTGAGACTCATTTTTTGGTGAGTTCCACTCACAGATGTTGCAGTATAAGATAAGCACTGTTAAATGAAGACAAATTTTCTAATTAGTCAAATTGAGAATGTGATATGTACATGTAAGTATCAACGTGGAAACCCCCAAAATGTCACCAGACAATGCCCCACAGACATGACAGATCAGCCCTGGAATAACCTGCCTCGGACTTGATGAAGCAGTGGTTGTTTGTGCAATGTACCAGTTCATTTTATTTGCTGTAAACTTCCCCTAAATTAATTCCCTTCCTTTTTAAGCTGTGTGTGGCTGGACATAATTTTGGCACCTGTTATTTTATTTCTAGATTGGCTTACTCACTCCCTTCAGGGAAATGTTCATGATCATTTATTTATGAGCTCCCTCGCCAGGATGTTGGGCTATGAGCCATGTTTGGCTCCAGCCATCGTGGCAATAAAAGTCCAATGTTGATACTAATGGACATATTAATGGCAATGCATCAAATGTTCATTACGGGCAAAATGCAGATCGTGACTGTGAAATGGTGGAGCGTGTAATGTGGTACGGTCATGACGGTACGATGGAGGTCCTCAGCGTATAGTAAATGATATAGTGAGCGCGATGTTGCTTTACTACCCCAGAGGAGGGGTTATTGGCAGATGGGGGGAGGGTGGAGGGATCGAGGGCCACGCTCCACCTTCCCCTCCAAAAAACTGAAACAAAGATGGTTTCCAAGGACCAGTTTATTCCCCTTCTTTCCAAAAGCGTACATGTATCAAAGGACCAACATTTCAGCATCAACCCTCAGAAAAGGCAGTAAATTGTCGCATTGAATTTCTGCAAACTTGACTCCCCCCCCAAAAAAAACAATGGTTCCGGATCCACATTTTTGGAAGTGGGGGGGGGGGCATTTTTCACTAATTTCACCTGAGTACGTGTGAACATCTTCGGTAGAGTTCATTAAACATTCTCCAGTTTCTGAAAATGGGGCATACGTGCCTTTGGCAAGAAAGTCTCTCAAGCGCAATGTTACATGATACTGATCAAGTTAGCCATCGTAAACTCCGATTGCACATTTCAGATGTGTTTTTGTCCGATTGTCCATTTCAATCAAATCATCTCCAACTCTTTCCCGCATTCTTTTCTTCCCTCTGTGTGTTTCTTGCTTTTTATTCAGTCACTTTGCAAATTCTTTGGGGACGGGAGCATGAACCCGGCCGTACTAACTTTTACTATTGGATTTTAAGTAGACAAAAGGTCAAGACAATGATTGTCCAGTTTATTGCTTAAATTTCGATTTCGTCTATTTTGGACTAAAAAATATAAGTTTTTTTTTACTTCTTCCACTAATTTCCTCTCACAGCATTTTGAGTTCCGGAAACGTTGGGATGTGGATTATATCGCCAATCAATGGAAGCCACCTGAGGTAAGGAAGACAGTTGTTGGAATTTCACAGAGGAATTTCTGTCAGCTTTAGGCTGTGGCATAATTTTGCATGGGAAAACTTGCCAACGAAATAATTGAGAAACAAAGTTTCTTATTGTCTGTTTGGGGCTGTGATAACGGTGGGTATTTGAAAACCCAAGACCCGTTTGAATACATGGTTCCTAGTTCAGTTTTTATGGTTTTTACAACCCGAAACTTACCTTTGGTCAGATGCTACCTTCACGAAAAGAAGGGATAACCGTACGGGTCACCGTTCATCTGATGAATTTTTTACAACAGTAATCAACAATAAGGTGCATGCATTGCACAGAGGAGGCCATAGCGAATGGTGGGCAGTCGTGTAGAGCAGGGCAGGTGGTTGAAAGGAGATTGGTCATTGCAAATTAATGGATGAGAAAGCTTCACCTCCACGTTTGTCAGGTTTGACAAAAATGCTTGCTCTTCAGACGAGAGTAGACGTGCCTGTCTTGCTTACAATGAGAATGACCACAATGTTGGCATGCTTTGTGGCATATATGTGGGGATGTCAACATTTTATTTGCAAGTGGTAATGCAATGAAACATTGTGGTCCAAGGGCATTGAAGGGAATAGAGTGTTTGAAAGGGCTAGCAGTCTACAGACTTGTATGACTCACGACTAGGACTCAACCCAGGTGACTCGACTCGTACTCAAGAGATATGACTCGGACTTGGACTTGGGCTTGATGTTTCATTACTCAAATACAAGTCTGGCATTCCATAGATTCTGTCGAGCTTGGTAAAACTCATGTGACAAATTGGAAACATTTGCCTACTCAGGACTTTAAAACTGCGTACCTTGGTACAGCAAAATACTCAGGGGAGATTTGTTGGGGGGAGAACTGGGACCATAGCCCCCCCCCCAAAAAAAATCAATAGGGAATTTTTTTAATCAATCAGAGTGAAGATATTAAGTTTCTTAACTGCTTGTAGTTTTGTATGGACAGAGCCAATTTTGTTCAGGAAATTGTTTCTGAGCAACTGCTTAATTATGACTGGCGCCATCAGTTTAATATTGCAAAAGCGCACTGGAGACGCTGCTAATGAAATGTAGGTCCCCCTCACCAACAAAAACAAAATTGGGGTCTCAATCCAGCCTTGTCAGTGTACATGTGTATTTGTAAAAAAAAAAAAGAATCTTGTGTAAATAAAGTGGACCTGTGATTGCTTAGAACAAATATTAACTTCGCGCATAATTAGAATGCATATATGCTAAGTACAGCCAGCAGAAATTTGGAGCATACAGACTGGTCAGTGTTGTATCACACGTTCTGTGCTGTGTGAAAATTAATGAGTTGGAGAACGGAGGAAGCATTCAACTACCCGCACGCTGTTCAAAGATATCTACATGTGTACACTATGGTACCGTACTATGCATTAAACACAGAGTACATGTACATGTCGTAAGGCCATGTTAGGCTCAAGGGAGTTGCTGCACACAAATGCGTACATGTACATGTGCTTGTCTACCAAAACATGTCCAATTTCAAGAAGAGGGTTGGTTTCTGCAGCAGGCATAATAGTCAAATGGGACAAGTTACATGTACATGTAGGTCAAATTGTAATTTCCTTGATATCAAATCCTCTTTTTTCGTATGTACATGTACACTGGCTACATTTTTATGTGCACCGCTTGACAGTACAGCATACATGTACTATGCAATTCCGTATCCTAAGCAATGATAGTTTCATGTCATTTAGTCGTGCGAAGAAACTGGGGAGTTTTATGTTTTTGAAAGATCTTTTTGTGATGTGCATGTATTCAAACGAGTATTCCACGTTCCTTTTTTTCATTTGAACAACCCTGCCTTTTAAAATTTTGCCATGGGACATTTGGAAATTATTTTATGTACATTGTCAGGTCAAAGGGACTTTAAAATGAAAAATTCAGACGTCTTATTTTTGGAAACAAATTTGAATGCCATACATGTATGTGTATAGTTAATGCTGATGTTGATCTTCCCTGACAACTGATCTTTGAACAGCTGAGGTAATTGACGCTGATGAAGTCCAACCAATCCCTCATCTTTTCCTTTTCTTGGGCTGTACGTTCAGGTCTTAGATAAGTTCTTTGTCGGTGGACTGTTCGGCGAGGACCGGGAGGGCTCCCCCGTTTGGTTTGACCCTTATGGCCACATTGACACCAAGGGCATCGTCATGTCGGTGGCCAGGCAAGACTTCTTGAGGTTCAAGATCTTGGCCTGCGAGAGAATACAGCAGGCACTGAGAGAACAATCCAAGAAGGTTGGTGGATGGAAGGGGCGGGGCATAGACACGGGCAAGGAGGAGACTTCTCAAGGTTCAAGTTCTTGGTGTCTTACGAGACATGATTGGCTCTAATGAGATTGCCCAGTGATTGACTAGGCCACTGAACAGAATAAATATGTTTCTGGCCCCCACTAATCTCTTTTTTGGGGACTTCTGCTCTTTTCCTAAATTTGCAACTTGTTTTTTGCCTTTGCTTCTACGAAAATATGTAGCCATAAATGCAGGCCTTAAAACCTCTTTGAAATGGTGAGAGCTCTTCACAAAATTTTCAGCAAAGGAATCAAGATAATCCATCTTCTAAAAGTCTGCTGCTGGTATCTAAAAAGGCATGCTACCTCCAATTAGAAAAAGCAAGAGAAACTAGTTTTTGTTTTGCTTGGCCATGATGGAGGGGCTTGGCCAGACTTGTAATGAGACAATGCCTAGAGATTAAGCCTAGCCCCCTGGGTTGACTTTGGAAAAAAATCACGAAATTTTGGATTTTGACGACTGCTCGGGTCTAAGATGATTGCCTGAGACAAACTTTCATAGAAGTCCAGGAAAAACTTGAAAATCGCTGATGATTCTCTCTGTCCATGAAAAAAAAATCACAGTGCTGAAGTATTGGACTTGGAACTGTCTTACTTGAATATTAAAGTCACTAGCCGTCTCAACATTCGTCATTTAATATATGGAATTAAACCTTTAAAAAAAATTGGGGAAAAAAAGGAGACAAATGTGGTTTGGTAGCCATTGAGTTGTCACCAAAACACAACCTTTTCAGGATACACTAAAAAAAGTGAGATAAATGCTGGTAGAGTTGAACATGTCTCGTCTGCACCACTTCAACCTGCATTTTTTCCCGTCTGGAAATTTCTGTCCGCCATGATCATTACAAAATTCTCTCCATTTCACCAACTTCCAGAATGACTCCTTGGTGTTTGTTTGTTTGTTTTTTTTGCAGCATGGCCGGCGGATTGAGATGTATACATTGGTCTTCGATCTGGACAGAGTCAACTTCTCCCATCTGTGGCGGCCGTTTGTCAATCTCTACAACGAGGTGATCAAAATCTGGGAAGCGAACTACCCGGAAAGCTTGAAAGTTGTTCTGGTTATCAACAGTAAGTCAATGGTAGAGCCCAACCTTCAATTTCTGAAATCATTTGTACAGACCTTATCTATTCATATCGTCAGCGAAAAGTCGACAATTTTAACTTCTCTAATTCTCTTTTCTGCATTCAGTTGTTCAATGGTCTTTTCTCATCTTAACCACTCCCTGCCGGGCGACCCGTTTTCGAGTACATAGGCTTTATATGCAGAGCCGGGAGCCCAGAACTGGGACAAAAGAGTTGGGCCTTACAACAAAAGACTGTGCTCAGCACAAAAGACTGAGCTGCTGGGCATTACTGACAAATATTCGTTCGTACTGACCGGCAAATTGTTGATGAACAATCTGTATACAAAATCAGTTGCAATAATGCACAAAATTGTACATTTTAATCACTGTAATAGCTTCTCACATCTGGGAGTATCTCCAGACATGATTTAGCAAGATTTGGAGACTTCAGTCCTTTGACATTTTGTAATGAATAAATTAATTTTTGAATCGTAAGATTTCTGTCGCTTTTCATTTGAATCTGCTTGAAATAAGCCTCAACAGTGCAATTTTTTGCATTTAAATCAAAAGAAAATTCTCCCATTTCATGAATTTTTCATTGGAATATTCAAATTCGGAAAATAATATGCAATATTTGGATATTCAGATATTTGGCACAGCCCTATTTTAGACTGGCCCAGCGCATAGTTATTCCAATTCATAAATATCTTTTTGAGTCACAAAGTCCAAACAATTGAATGAACTTTTGACCAATAGGAAATGCTAAACTGTCGTTGGTATTTATGAATGAAAATTATTGGTGTCAAATGTTGGAATTTCATTTCTGCATTTGTCTTTAATCATGTTGAATTCTCAGTGTAGTCGCTGTAATGGAACTTGATGCACTGACATAAATATGCGCCAGTGTTCAGTGTTTATTTTGCTTCACATATTTTTCACACATTTTTGTAATGTTTCCATTTGGAGGCAGATTTCATGGGGTGAGATACTTGAAAGTTAATCATTAATACAAAAGTAAACCAGACTGTTTGTTGTGCAGTTGTCTGCTGACAAACGAATACGTAATGCACAGTCATGTCATCTTATTACAGACTTCAAAGGTCAAAAGGGTTTCCTCTTTTAAATGAGAAATCTGTACTCCCATGGGCTGAGGATTAAAAATAAATCATAAAGTAAACAGAACAATGAGTCAGTTGAGATTTTAAAAAAGAGCTGGATATATTTTTATCCCTTCAAAGATAAATCTGCAGCTCAAATGTTTGAGACCAGGCACTTGGGTGAAAAAATTGAAAATCTGAGTTTTAGTGTGTATGCAAAATCGATAAAATATCAGCTTTTTTCAGATGACTTTTGAAGGAAGCCGTTGATGTGATTGTGATAAGTGCATTGCTTTGCAGAATTGCTAGATATTTCTTCAAGGCTTCAGCTTCATGTGTAAAACTTTCTGAAAAAATGATTACAGAAAAAAACGGAATAACAAAGTGCACTTGTTCAGCAAAAAAGACTTCAATTTTTCTCTAAATAAAGCACGACTGTGTTCACTACACAGTCACCTTACCGTCACCATAACAAAGTTACCGTACTTGGACTGGCCAATTTTATACGTTATGAAAGAAGGAATTCCATGGCCTTGCTTACCTCACAGTTCCCATCATAACAGGATTTTGCTATAATGAAGCGCTCTTTATATTGAGCGTCTGTAGTGTCCATATAGCACAATACATGTCCTTTTCCAGTTCGCTTTCAACCCTGTAGGTCCACAAGGTCAGTGTTTGACCTTTTGGCCAGCCAGAGCATGACCAAAAATGCTGAGGAGATTCAGTTTTTTATCCAGAGATCTCAGTTAGCATTGAAATGGATCCCTAAAAAGTCAACAAACTGCCCGTTGCATGAGCCTAATTAAGCGGAATTAAAATTTATCCTTTGGAATTAGCGCAAGATCTAGAATCTGTTAGGTGCATCTTAAAGTCGGTGTACTATTTCTTTTTTCCTTACAGCTCCGAAGATGTTTTCCGTAGGCTTCAATTTGATCAAACCATTTCTGAGCGAAGAGACAGCTGCCAAGGCTGTCATTGTCGATAGTGAGTAGGAATTTTGAAGATTGACAGTTTGCCAGGAAACATCATTAATGCCAGAACCAAGTGGTTCTATTTAGGAGACAATGAGTGATACTACACTCGTTGAAAAAAATGTAAGATTCCAGCTTGAAACTGGAGAAAAAACTCACACTTTGAACGCTCCTTTGACTTGATTATGGGATCATGATTTCCTTGACTACTTCTCCTCATGTTGTGATAGAATGCCCAAGTTAAACCCCCAAACGTCTGTAAAAAGGTTTTTGGGGCTTTTGCTAGACCTTTGCAAGTCCACAGAATGTTTTGTTTCCTTGCCCTGCGTGGACTGCTTCTGTAGATGCCTCAAAATGGTAATTGTTCCAATCTTATCAAAGCAACATGGAAGAAAAAAGGTCATATTTCATGTATATGGGAAATGTAGACTAACTCCAATGTATGACACAAATAAAGCTGACCACATGTGCCAACATGTATGTTCCAATGTATTACTCTCGTAGAATTCTGTGGACTTTGTGCACATTCAATTGAAAAGTAATCCCATGCACAAAGCAGTGAACATACCCGATGTGTGGTTTCTTGACCCTCATAATACATGTACATGTATGTGAGCCGCACAGTTCCAGCCAAAGCAAGTCTGGTCCGAGCAAATGTGGCTCATCAGGCTGGTGTTTATTTCCGGTTTCCTGGGCATGAAACGACTGAGAATATTTCCCACCCCTTGGATGGGATGCCAGTCCATCGCAGGCCACATTCCCAGCTAATGCCGGTACGGATTTATACTCCTGGATGGAGAGAGGCAAGCAGGCGGTGTGAAGTGGCTTGCTAAGAGCCACAGCATACTGCTAGCAGCTGGATTCGAACCTCCAACCCTATGATTGGAAGCCACAGACCTGAACCACTTGGCCACATGCCTCCCCATTTCCAGCAACGAATCCATAAAATTATCAAGCAGAAATGTTGGCACATTAAAATTCATTCTTGAATGTTTATAAATCAAGTTGACCCCTCCTTTGCAGGCCATTACCACGAGGCTTTGTTCAACATGATTTCAAAGGAGAACGTTCCCATACATTACGGAGGGACGGCGGTTGACAGTGACAATGACCCAAAGTGTCGCTCTAAGGTAATGCAAAGGTTCGGCTTATTTTTCCCGAAAAAGTTTGAGCCAGTCGTCCTAAACTTTTAACCAGTTTTCCAGAACCATTTTGACCCACTTTCCCTGAACCAGTTTGAACCAGTCGTCCTACGCTGGTATGAACCGTATTCCTGGTTCACACGTGATCAGGTTTGAGCCAGTTGTCCTAAACTTTGAATCATTTTTCCTGAATCAGTTTGAACCATTTGTCCTAAACTATTGTGAACCTGTTGGCCTGAACCAGTTTGAACCTGTTGTCGTAAACCATTGTG